TATATATCATTTCGATGTATAATTACATATTCTAACTGGGCTAGGCCTATTTATATATCGTGTCCGTATTTTACATATTTCAATCTTTGTCAATCTAAAGTCGAAGGTATATTCTGGTCCCCAACCCTTTTATGTTCACTTGAATAGGCTTATATATAAGACTTCTAAGAGTGGATACCTTGTTTCAAGCAAGAAACCAAGTGTCTTTATCCAGTATCGCTCGTTTATTTCATTCGTGTGGGAAACTTAACATATACATATTTTTCATCACTATATATTTCCATTATATTGTCATAAAGAATATCTGCCATGGTTTTTGGGAAGAATTTGAATTTTTCTACAGAGGTCAAGGACCTTTTGACCTTTAGATACGTCAATTTTTACACACATTTTCAATTTGAATTGCTGAAAAATCTACAGGCTACATGTTGATACCAACATCATGCAAATCCATCCAAATAAATCATGAGTTATGAACCTAAATGTTAACCCCTACCCCAAGCATTGCCATTGGTTCAAAAATAATCAACAATGACAGTACATTTAATCAATTAATATCAATTTATGATATTCCATATGCTTATTTGTAATAGAAAATACTAATTGGTATCAAATCTACTCACAACTGTAGATTTGCAAACGTTTGTGAGTGAATTGGAAATAAATTTACAACTTTTCTGTGGAGGTCAATGACCTTTTGACCTCTAGTTACGTCAATTTCTGCCTGTTTCAAAACTTTTTCAATTTGAATGACTGACCAATCTATAGGCTAAATGTTGATACCAACACCATACAAATCCATTGAATAAATCAAGTGTTAAGAGCATAAATGTTACCCCTACCCCAAAAACTGTTGTCGATTACAAATTTCTAGGATCATAAACAATGACAATAGTACATAATGCATTTTAATTTTTTTGTAACATCTGTTTTTGTATTCCGTATGTCAATAAGTTCAAAAAACACAATTTGTATCAAATACATCCAAAAATAGAGATATGACACTAAAGTTTATTGATATTTTGTGCAAAAATTTGCATTTTAGAAAAAGGTCGATGACCTTTTGACCTCTAGTGACGTTAATAATTGTCGGATTAATTTTATTTAAATTGCATTTGATTAAGAAACATAATATACTACACATTGCTACCAAAATAATATTGATGAGCTTTTAAATTCACAGGTTATGGGAATAAATGTTACTCCTCCTCCCTCCTCCCCCCCTCCAAAAAAAAAATGACCATAAAACACTAACGACCATTACAAATGACGCGAGTACATACAATACATCCCTATATTTTTCTTGTTAACATCAGATTTTTTGTTTCATATGCCCGTAGGAACAAAATTATACCAAGGAAGTTTAACTGTGTGGGGGGGGGGGGGGCCCCAG